GGCGGTCCCGCCGCTGTGAAGCTGAGGTGGTGGCTCCCCCACAGCTGCGCCGCGGGGCCGGGCGCGGCGCTTCCCGCCTTTTTGAGTCTCTCAGGGGGAGAGTGGGAGGCCTGGGTGGAGGGGAGGTGAGGTGCGTGTGCGTGGGGGAACGATCCTGTCGGGAGTGGGGGCTGAGGGGCAGTGGCGGAGCCCGCAGTGAGGAGTTCTTCCCCCCGGGGCGGGCAGGCGGTTCTTCGTGTCCCGCCGGCCTTGCCCGGGCGGGGAGCGGGGAATAGCCCTCACCCCTTTTTCCCGCGCACCTTCGTGGGGCCTGGCTTGGGCTGGGGTGCGGGCTGCCTGCAGCTGCTCCGGTCGCCTCTGGGAAAAAGCGTTATGGAGTTGAGCTCTTGTTCCCTGGTGGCCTTTACCGTCCGCTTCAGTGCAAGTCCCGCTCTGCAGGTGGCTGCATCAAACTGCCCAAATGCCACTTAAGATGGGTGCTGCAAGAAACTACGCTTTCTGCTCACGTACAAGAAAAAAATCCCCAATTGCATAGAATGAGGGTGGTTGTAAGTAAAGTGTTATGTGTCTGTGGTGGTAACACCTCCTGGGCTTGTAGCAACATAGGGCAGTGTGAGTTGGATGATGATTGTTGGTCTTCACCCTGTTCATACAATAATTTCTGTAGAGGCATTGTGGTTTGTTGCAAAACCTCAGGGCTGTGGTATGTCTGTGCAAGGCTATACAATGATACATGCTTTCAAATTAAAGGTAAGGGGAAATACTGCCCACCTGAGGCTTAAATTATCAGGAGAATAACTTTCTAGAGGTGATAACTCAGCATGTTCTTATCTATGCAGACAAAATAGGTGAAGCCTCTGCTAGGTAAATCCAAGCAAAGCATGTAATAAAAATCTGATAGTTAAAATAAGGTTGCCTTTCTGTTAATGGTATGAATGTAGAATGACACTTTTTCAAATGTTTCTATGTCGAAGGTTGCAACTTTCCTACCTGGCAGGAGAGAGTATGCAATACGGTATCACAGAAGGTCTCAGCTCCATAAAGAAATGTAGATAATCTTATAAATAAAGCCTTATTCTCACCTATGTTAAACTTTCCTTTTTTTTTTTTTTTATGGGAGGTAAAAATTTGTTTAAGTCATGCAGCATTCTACTAGTATCTTACTGACTTGGTTTTGGAGTCTTTTGGATGGGGAAAAATCACCAGTTCTCCATGTATTTAAAAGACAAACTGCATAGTTAATCACTCCAACGTTTCCAGGGTTTAGAGTATTATTTCAGTTAATTATATGTTGGAGAATTCTTGCCTCTGGCTGTGCCCAAAATATTTGGTATTACAAGATGTAATGCATGATGAAAACCATATATTTAGTACATGTGTAACATTAAATTATAGCACCATTTTAAATATGGTTACAGTATTTGATTTGTCTGTTCCCATTTTAACTAGAAATATGGAAAACTTGACAACCAGAGTGCTGCTATTCAGAGCAAGTGTCTCGTATTTGGCAAAACGGAAGGGAACAATTTGAAAGTACAGTCACCGTTCTGGTTGTGCTCAGATGCGGTTAGTCATTTAGTGTTAGCATTTCTGGGACACTGTAATGCTGTTAGAGTCCTAGCAAGGAAAAGAAAGAGGTGTTCCTTATGAAAAGAAAACCATTGTTGCTTGAATATGATTGCTTGCTAAATGACATAGAAAATCCTGAAAACAAGTTAGAGATTCTCACTTTTTGCTGATGTGACACGTCTATAAAACCACCCATCTTGGGCTCTGTAATGCTTTACTTAGAGCAATTTCCATGTTGTTTCTTAAACAAACCTACTGTTTTACATATTTGTTTCAAAGTAATTCCTGACATCTACTGTTTTTCTAGGTTGATCAACTCCAAAATGTTATCTCAGTGTCTGTGCCAAGTTTACAAGTGTTTGTTTCTGCGCAACCTAAAACTGAATTCGATAAATGTGGCTACTTTGGCCAGATGGATCCATTCTTCAGCAAAAAAACTTTCTGACTGTGAGTTAAAGGAACAAACCGACCAGAAACGTGAAACTAGAGAGTTGCCTCAAAGTACAGAAAACAATAATTTTGGAAGATTGCACATACCAGTGATGCTGGAGGAGGTTGTTAATTGTTTATCCCCCCAGCGAGGGCAGGTGAGTTGAATGATTAATTAACATTTGTGATTCAGTAGCAGTCCAGCAGAAAAGTGTGCAGTGTAGGGTAGCTCTTGTTTAGAGAAATAAAGGGATGCTCTTTAAGACTGTTGCACCTTCTAAAGCTTCTAAATTGTTTTGCGATTAAAATTAAGGCTTTATATTTAAAATAATAAAAACCTGATATCTGTATGCCTGAATCCCCAAATAAGCAGTATTTGTTAAAACTGTAGTAATCTCTTGCTTTTGTGCTTGTCTTTCTGGATTGCTCTTGTGTATTTCTAAAGTTGTGTTAATTACTAATAGTAGCTGGGAGTTCTCATGTATGGTTACGTCATCAATTTGTGAAGAGCTCTCTTCCTTTTGTATAAGAGGTAGTAAGTATGTAGGTTTTAAAAATCATCATCATAACTTGTTCTGAGATACTTATTTCCATGGTTTCACTTGGTTTGAGGCACTGTATTTCCTTAGGATATGCTTACGCTGCACAATGTGGTGCACTGTAGAGGTACTGTAGTTATAAAATGACTGTGTATGGTACCAGAAATTGTTTAGCATCTATAATGTGGAAGTATCACAAGTCATCTTATTTGGCTACAGTACTGTGAGTAGATTCCTTTTGGTATCTGGCTTAGCTCAGGTCTCTACACTGCAGTGTTGATATATCTACCTTGTACCTGTGTGTGCAGTGTAGGTATATTGTTGCACACTCCTTTTACAAAAATGTTACACGGTGAAATAGTTTTCACCTGAGAGGTGTTAAATACAATATTAAGTTGAAAGGTTTTCTTACACAACTTAAGTGTTTAAATGATTTTCACATTTCAGGTGCTTTCATGTGTGATTTTAGTGCTTTTTATGTTAGCTTCATAGAATCTTATTAATTTAAGCTTATCAATACGTAGTTTTACTACAAAGACTGAAATGATACATAAAGAACTAGAAAGTTCAAAGTGTGTGTATGTTTGTTTATTTTTACTTGAAAACAGCATTGTCCAACAGTGGCAAAGGGATATAGCGAGTTTGGGGTGGATTCAGGGATCAAAAAAATGCGGTCAAATCTTGTTGCATTGCCTTGAGAGAACTTATTTAGTTTGGAAGATAATGTATCGTTTTAAGTGTTTTGAAAACCAGAGAGAGTCTGAATAGTGTAATTATTGTAACATACACGTCGTTCTTGCATGTGTCCTACTGTTGAAGATACCTGAACTAGTATTATGTAAGGAACTTTGAGTTCAGATTTCATTTAGATGTCAGAACTATTTCACACATTAAACGAACATACAAATTGTGACACTATATGTGAAGTATTTTTCCAGTTGTGTAAGTTTCTACTTAAATAAGAACTAAGAAGAGGCTGATGGGGGGACTGTTTATTAAACTGTGTTTGTTGATATCAAAAAAACTTACTTGGTGACAGAACTTGCAAAATAAACTATTCCTGGTTATAAACTGTGGAGAGTAACTATTATTGTCCCTGAAGGCTTTTTGAGAATTTAAATATTTATGAATGTAAAATAGCTTATTATTGGTGGGATTTCTCTCAGGTCTGTGTATGCACAGTTTTGCAGATTCCTAAGCTAGTGGTGAACCACTAATGACAGACATAAGAGAGCACAAGCATGTTGTCTTGAACAGAAGCATTTATAATATGGCTAACCTTTTAGCATAACTGAATATGAAAACAGCACTTCCATTTTTCTTTTTTTTTTTTAAAGACAGAGTAAATCGTATATTTGCAGCACTTTCTGAAGCCTGAAGTTTTGAAAATAAGTAGTGTGCATAAGGATGCAATGTGTCAATGGAGTTTTGCTAGAGTAAGCATCAGTGAAATTTTAAACAAAGACTGAGACTGTTTCTCACTGATGTGAATGGTGGTACAGTTTCTTTTAAGATGGCTATAGAATTGGGACTGTTGTATCAATTTACGTTTTTAAGTCATGACTAGGAAGTTCATGAACACTTTATTTACTTTGTGGGCAGGGATGGTAATGTTCTGATCTTGGGTTTTGTTTTTCTGCTTTCTTCTCTCCTTCGTACACAAAGATTTCCTTTACTCGGCTTTAGCACAGTTATATTCTTTGTTATAAAAAAAGCTGATTTGGGCCTCTATTTCCTGTTGTGTCCCTAAGACAAGGAGTTGCCAATATAAAGAAAATCCAATTAGAAAGACAACGTTCTCCCTATGGTTTTGGTCTGTGTATGGGGTTTTCATTTTACTTATAGGGGTTCCTAAGAAAATAAATGTTACTTAAGAGTGAGTCACAGCTGAGAGAGATGTTAGTACCCTCCTGTTGAATATTCTTGTTGACTGTCTCCTTTGTGGAATCTGTTTATCAGGGGTTTAGGCAATAGTATTTCCACTTATCTTTGAATCTTCTTTTATTGCCTTAGAGCTTGTTTCTACAAAGTCCCTGTAGTAGTCCTGTCTTTGAAGCACATTGTACAAATTAGTTTTTACTGATCTACCTCACTTCTCCTCAATGAAAAGTCTGTTGCAGTAAATCCACACACAAGTAATTTCCTCTTTAAATTTACTGTATTGACTAAACTACATTTTAGTCTTCTCGGTCCACTAGTGTTCTTTACGCATACTCGACCAGTGTTTGTGCAGTTGTCTGGGCAGCTTGAGTTTTCTCTGTTCTCTTAAACTTTAAAGGTAGCGAAGAACCAAGCATATTTTCAGAATGAATGTCTGGACATCCAGAAGCCTGTTTTCCCAATTTTCACCCTACTTTTTACTATTTTTTTCCTTTGCAATGGTCACTTGCCTTTTAACTGGAGATATGGATCTCTTCCACATCATACAGCCATAGTGAAATGAAAAAGAATTTGATTAGCAGTGAGTTCTAGTATGAATGCCAGAGGCTGAAACTTCGAGTTTTTAATTATTCTTATGGGGGTCTTATAACAAATGTTCTTACAAGTTGCAAAGCTCTAGGAAACTATTTTGATAATGCTCCAGCACAAACAGTGCACTTTTATGTATACTATTTAAACTCCAGCTAGAAAAAAAAAAAAGAAAAAGAAATATTATAACCTACTCAGATTTTATGGGGGAGCCTGTAATCTGATGACATCTATGGTTTTGTGTTCAATATGATCTAGAATAGACTAAAATGGAGAGACAATAAGCTCTAGGAGTACTATTTGGTTTATGATAGTTCTGGAAACTTTTTTAATGTCTGTAAATTAACTGGTAGGTGGTCAAACTTGAGGTGAGAAAGAACGAATGAGACCATTCCCTTTTCTCCAGTGTTTAAGTGATTCAACAGAAACAGAGTTAATATCAGATGATGCCATCCAGAGGGACCTGGACAAGCTTGAGAAGTGGGCCTGTGTGAACCTCATGAGGTTCAACAAGGCCAAGTGCAAGGTCCTGTGCTTGGGTCAGGGCAATCCCAAGCACAAATACAGGCTGAGTGGAGAATGGATTGAGAGCAGCCCTGAGGAGAAGGACTTCGGGGTGTTGGTTGATGAGAAGCTCAGCATGACCTGGCAATGTGCACTTGCAGCCCGGAAAGCCAACCGTATCCTGGGCTGCATCAAAAGAAGCTTGGCCAGCAGGTCGAGAGGTGATTCTGCCCCCCTGCTCCGCTCTGGTGAGACCCCCCTGAAGCACTGTGTCCAGCTCTGGGGTCCTCAGCACAGGAAGGACATGGGCCTGTTGGAGCGGGTCCAAAGAAGGGCCACAAAAACGATTAGAGGGATGGAACACCTCTCCTATGAGGAAAGAGTTGGGGTTGTTCAGCCTGGAGGAAAGAAGGCTCCAGGGAGCCCTTATTGCAGCCTTTCAATACTTAAAAGGGGCCTACAAGAAAGAGGGGGATAGTCTTTTTAGCAAGGTCTGCTGCGACAGGACAAGGGGTGATGGTTTTAAACTACAAGGAGGGTAGATTTAGACTGAACACAAGGAAAAAATTTTTCACGGTGAGGGTGGTGAAACTCTGGAACAGATTGCCCAGAGAGGTGGTAGATGCCTCATCCCTGGAAACATTTAAGGTCAGGTTGGATGGGACTGTGAGCAACCTTGATCTAGTTAAAGATGTCCCTGCCCATTGCAGGGGGGATGGACTTGAGGAACTTTAAAGGTCCCTTCCATCCCGAAGCAGTCTATGATTCATTCTATGATTCTATGATCTTTTTATCTCATTATGTTAGTGTCTAAAAAATAAGGCCATTAATTTTCCCCAAACAGATCTTGGCTGACATCTTGAGTTAGCTGAGTCTTCTTGTGGAGGTATCCCCTTTGATTCTCCATAAAATTATTCAGTTTATTTTTACTACCCAGCTTTCATTGAAGGAGGTATCCATTTTGTCTTGGAAATAATGTGTGATACCTAGTTTCTAGAAAGAGACAGGTATTTCTTAAAAACATCCAGCATTGCCATGAGCTTTCCTTTCAGTCTTTCAGGTATATATTGCATTGTGCTCAGGATAGCTACTATTTTCATGCATCCAAATGTCAAATGATTCTTTTTCAGCTGAGAGAGATTATGAGCACGGCCTTCCAAAATGACAAGAGGAAGCATAAGACATTGCTGACAGTCAAACATTGGTCTTTTGTCACTGAAGTGCTGCTTGAGCTCTGCAATTAGTTTGAAGACAGTAGCCTTTCACCTCCTGAAGGTCTGTTGCCACTGTTGGATGTTGTTGATCTGGACTGTAGTCTTTTCCTTCCTATTCTGCAGAGACAGTTAGTCAAGTAACAGATGACACTCAAAGGAAGCTGAAGTAGACTGCTGGTGTGCGAAACCAGAGTCTATTGTTCTGAAGCTGTTGTCTTAGTTTCTTTATATCCTTGTCCAATGTAAGTATTCCTTTTCTTTTTCTGCCTTATTCTGAATGTAAGCTCTTAAGGACAAAAATAACCTTTCTCTGTACAGCACCCTACAGAGTGGACTTCTGTTTTATGAGAAGAGTTTCCAAGTGTCATGGTGTATAAATAGTTACGTGGCTATGCTGGTGGCCAGTGTACTTATAGTATTTCCAAAGCCATC